ACCAACACCCTTTTTTCCCTCTTTTTCCATTTCATGCTCTTTGTGATTATAATCAATCTGTGACAGATTGAGGCCTAACATTTTAATGGCTTTTGTTGAAGGTGTTCAAAACAAACTTCTAAACATGGACGAAAGCATTTATATTCCTGTCACGCAAGCAGAGTTCACTGTCCTCAAATCAGCATTCAGCGTATGATACACTTCTCTCTATTTTTCATCTTTCTTAATTTTTTATCAATGGTGTTAGGATGTATGATGACATACTTTTAATTCATAAGATGTATAGCTGCGAGTAAATGCTATCTTGGATCGAATCTTCTTTTTTCTCGGGCAAATTTTGTTCAACAAATACTACTTGCACGGCAGCATACATAAATTCTTAAGGGTTGACATGTTTGAATGAGAACTGTTTGGAAATGGCATCCCACACCCCAAACTTGGCTTTCCCCTTAATATTTCTTTTACAAGTGAATAAGTTGTTAGTGTCATGACTGTTTTCTAACTTGCTTTGAACAACATATTTTTTTCTCTGCAGTATATTTTGCCATATCTTTTAGGATGGCATGCCTTCGCGAATTCAACGAAACTGGATGAATCAAGTCGTGTGAATAATGTCAATCCTAGATACGGAGGAGACTACGAATGGAGTAGTTAGTTGGAAAATTTGTCATAGGATGACCTTTCTAATTTACCTAGTGTTTTCCCAAAATGTTCTAAACTGTATCTAGCTTCGAGTTGGATTGTGCTTTAAATTGTTGCTAGCGATTCAACTTAGTTTCGAGTGATTGTTAATTTATATCTTAAATTATGTTTCCTTCCAATGGAGCCAAGTTAAAGTTCATGGTGAAGGTTGGATATGCCTCCCACCTCACATCATAATCAATGGAATCAATGTCGGACGTGTTCATTGCAAACTAGTATTACAATGCTGACGAACATTTTCAAGAAATACATGCTGCAAATTACATTTTATACTCTAAGATAATCAAACTAGCTGAAGAAATGTCGCAAACTGAAATGTAGGCTTTACCCACAAAATTTATATTCTCAGATTAGTTATTTTGCCCATAGCAGAAAGAAGTTGATTATATTGTTCATAGGCATATCAGCATATGTAATATCTCTTAATTGCCACACAGCAAAATGTTGACTGTGAACAGGATGCCATCAGTTCCTAGCTGAAATGCTTCTGCAAAATATCAAAATCCCAGTAATCAGAACGCATCAAATGTCCATAGGTTCTTAAGATCTCATGCATCACTTTCCTTATTGAAGCTTATACCTAGGGGTGCACAAAAAATTCGAATATCCGAATATCCGAAAAAAATATCCGAAACCGGTTTTGGGAAAAACCGGTTTTTTTTTAACCGGATCGGATTTTTTTAAACCGGTTATTTTAATCGGTTTGGAGAAAAAAACCCAGACCGGTTTTTTAACCGGATAAAAAACCGATTTGAAAAAAACCGGTTAAAAAACCGTTTTTTATCCGAAAAAAAAACCCGGTCTGGGTTTAAAAAACTAGCCGTTAATATAGCCGTTTGTGACCGTTTTTGACCGTTTTTTTCTTTAAAAAATTACTATTTTACCATCCTAAACATGTATAAATAGGTTGGGGATGTATTTGGTTGATTACAACTTTCTCAAATCTTATTACACAACACTTAAACATCTCTCAAATCTTAGTTTTGTAATTTTTTATTCATCATGAGTAACACTGCTGAATCTTCCGTCGGGGGAAACCTTGAAGTCGTGAGAGTGATCGAACACACTCGAAACAAAGATATTTGGGATCACTACGATTTATGTGAGATGTCAAATGGCTCGAGGAGGGCGCGTTGTAAACTTTGTCTAAAGTTTCTTGCATCGGAAGGAAACACAACGTTGAAGAACCATTTGACAAAATCATGCAAGGCACTTCGCTCAAGATCGGATCCTAGTCAATCGAATCTTACACCGCAAGGTGGTGTTTTTGTTTACGACAACGATAAATTACGAGAAGCATTTACAAAGTTCGTTATTACAAAAGCATTGCCGTTCGACCACTTTGATGATGAAGATTTCACGACAACAATTCAACAACTAATGCAACCACGTTATACTCAAGTAAGTCGTACTACCCTTAGAAGAGATGCTATAAAAATGTGGCGTACGGCGAGGGAAAAAATGATTTTAGGATTCCAAGAACACCGTTATGGTGTGTCGCTTACATGTGACGTTTGGAGTTCCCCTCATAATACCGGAAATTCTTTTTTAGCCGTTACGTCACATTGGTTAGATCAAGATAATTGGCAAATGATGAAAAGAACAATCGCGTTTGAATTATTCGGTGAGCCGCATACCGGTGCTAATTTATTTACACTTTTAAAACGGGTAATTTGTCTTTATAAATTAGAAAATAAAGTTTTTTCTATATCCTTTGATAATGCATCGAATAATACAAACGCGGTTCCAAGATTGAAAATATTACTTTCACCGATTTTAGACGGTGCGTTTTTTCATACCCGTTGCGTTGCACACATAATTAATTTATCCGTGCAAGCCGGTTTGGAGGTTATTGAGCCAATTAGATTAGAATTTAAAACAATGATAAAATCGATTCTTTGTAACAACAACAAAAGACTAAATGATTATAAACGATTTTGTAAGTCTGTTAATAAAAAGCTTTGGGTCCTAATTTGGATTGTCCAACTCGTTGGAACTCAACTTGGATGATGATGCATACTGCCTTAAGGCAAAGGGAAACATTGCAAACATTTCACGATCGGCTTTTCGAGAGGGGTCATGTCACAGACATTTATCCGGATTCGAGTTGGGAAACTATAGCCAAAATAACTGATTTGCTTGAGGTTTTTAAAAATGCAACAACTTTTTTATCCGGTGTTTATTACCCTACTAGCCCGTTGGTTCTTAATCAAATATTTTTGTTGGCTACCCGACTAAATGACTTTGAATTTGAAACCGAAGTTTTTCAAGAAATTGGCTTTGCAATGAAGGAAAAACTTTTAAAATATTTTAAGGAGATTCCCCCCATTTTTACTTGTGCCGCCGCTTTAAACCCAACGTTAAATGTTGGTGGGGTTGAAACACTAATTGAACAAATTGCGTTTGCTTTTAATCTAACCGATGATGAACCCAACTTTGTCCAAAACCAAATAAATTATTTTAACAAATGTTTTCGAGACATGTTTGCAATTTATTTAACTAAATACGGATCAAGTAGTGTAATACACGATCAAATGAGAATGAATGCGGAATCATCTAGTAGACGTCCAAGTAACATAAATTTGAATCTTTTTAACACTCTTGTAAATTCTCAATCCAAACGATCACGTACTACCACCCCAAGTAGCGAGTTGGGAAATTACATGTCATGCGATTTTCTATCAAAAATGACATTTGAAGAGTTTGAAAGTTTGGATATTTTGGCTTGGTGGAAAGAAAAGGAAGCACAATTTCCGATTCTAGCCGCCATGGCCCGTGATTTACTAACCGTCCAAGCTTCTACGGTAGCTTCGGAATCCGCTTTTTCTGTTAGTGGCAGGGTTATATCACAACGGAGATCAAGACTAAGTCCCGAGTCGGTGGAAGTATGCATTTGTTTAAAGGATTATTTGGATGGAGCGGCTCGTAAGCAACATATCACCACCCTAGAAGATGCAATTGATGCCGATTTGGAAGCAAACTTACACATTGAAGAAGTCGAACTTGGAATATCCCCTCCAAACGAAGAAGGCGAAGATGATGAAGAAGAGATGGAAATGTAGTTTATTTTTTAACTTTATTTCAATTATCGTAAACTTTGTTTCAATTATCGAACTTGAAGTTTTTAAGTATTTGAATTTATCGAACTTGGAAGTTTTTAAGTATTTGAATTTATCAAACTTGGAAGTATTTAAGTATTTCAATTATGTTGAGTTAATTAAGTATTTCAATTAAGTATTTGAATTTATCGAACTTGAGGTTTGATGCTTTCTCTTTGATTCTCTCTTGATTCTAGTTGCTTGATGTTTCTTGTCTTTGATCAATGACTTCTAAGCTTGCTTAAATACACCTTGAATCACTTCTGAACGTTAGTGATAATTAATGAAGATAATATAGCCGTTTAAGTGTGAAAACATTTAATAAAAATGCTTAGAGCGTGGGGGAATCGGTACCCTCTCATAGGGAATCGGTTCCCTAAGTGTAAAATTCAAATATTTCGACCGTTGAATAGGGGGGAATCGGTACCCCTATGGGGGAATTGGTTCCCTCCGAGCATTCTGGAAATCTCGGAGCCAAACCATTCAGTGAGGAATCGGTACCCCCTTGGGGGGGAATCGGTTCCCTATGAGCAATCTGGAATATTAAAATCGGTTTTTTTATAACCGGTTTTTTAAAAAAACCGGTTTTTTTAAAACCGAAACCGGTTACACCGGTTAGGATATCCGGCCCTCCAAACCGGTTAGAAACCGAACCGGTTATTTTATAAACCGGTTTTTTTTCTATAGGAAAAAACCGGATCGGATAAAAACCGATCCGGATCGGATTGAAATCCGAATTATGTGCAACCCTACTTATACCTAAAAAACAAAGTAAAAATGACAATCGGATTTACATAAAAACATTGTTCCACAAACAAGTTCTGGACTTGGCACGCTAAGTTAAACTTTAGATGAGCTCATTATGCAAAACTTAACACTATGTTAGAATAAACAATTATAACAAAGAGAGATCAGGTAAATGATACATTTTTATTTGAAATTTGTTAGGAAAAGAGACTTTTCCTAGCTTTCCTCCAAGTTGGGGTAAATAAGAAATAGTCTGTTTCAAGGGAAACCAAGGGACATTCAACTCCTTTTACTTTCCCTTACTTAAATAATAAAAATGTTATTCAAACAAGGGGAAGATGCTCACTTCTCCTTTCCCTTATTTATTCGAGCATAGGGTAAAGGTTTCAAAAAATTATGAATCAAACATCTGCAGACTTCTCGGCTCTTCATCCAAATTATCAATATCGTCTCTTCCTGAATACTTCTTACTTACGGATAAAATATATGCAATGTCTTTCAGACCCTGAAATAAACAAGTCAAGATTAATATTAGGCATTACAATCAATTAAATAAATGAAAATTTACAGCTCAATGAACACATGATTTGTGGACCCATTGAACTTTAGGCTACCAAATACAAATAATATTGATACCTCGGTAGATGCACACTTTATTTTACCAAAACAGATCTTTCTTTAAGTCTTTTACCACAACAAGATTGAAGTATAACGCATTGATGCATGTGTATTGGCCTAGAGAAAACACAATTTTGAACTCCATAAACACAAAAAGATACCTTTGGAGTTGGTGTTCCTGATGTAAGCAAAGCACGAGATTTACCGGAAAGTTTAAATTGCTCCTACAAGAAAATGTAAAATCAGACTAAAATATTACACTCATAAAATAATCGTTCCCTTTTAGTGCAGCAACACAGATCACATAATCTTTTTTAGAGACTAGCAGGGATTTAAGACCAGATTTTGAAAGAAATGATCCACTACGGAAAACCAAACGGATATGACAATGACAAACTTCACCCCCTCCCTTGTTTTTTCCCCTTCCCCTTTTAAATTTGATCTAGTTTTTGAACCGAAGATTGTAAACTCAAAGGTAAAAACAGAACATTCATCTTTCCCCTAGTACCAACCTGCAGAGCTTCAGGCATGTTCGCTTTCTTGCCACCAACCATATCACAAAGGCACCACACGCCAGCATTGGCAAGATCCTACCACAAGAAGACTGTATAGGTAAATCATTTTGAATAAACCAATAAAGATGCAAGCAAAGACAAGAGAAAAAGGAAACACACTGAGATGTAAAGAAAAACTAAATACCATATTCCTTCTCAGGGCAAAGCAGAAATCCGAATCCAAATATTCAAAAAATATCATTAACAGTTACAACCACATTTTCCTACCATAATTACATATTTGACTTCGTATTCTAAAGTGCAAGAAATGGAAAAAATCTATATACCTGTTTATATTCCAATGAACCAATTTTGCCATCCTGCAAGTGAGCAAATTTGAAGAGACAAAAAAAATGAAGCGGAACAGTTCAGATACATGTATATGAATAGATAGAAATTTACCTGTTAAAATTAGTATAATTACACATGTAATCTTCAATACTTACATATTTTATCAATTTAGTCTTAATTTTAAGTTAATTTAATAAATTTAATCCTCCAATCAGAACATGAAATGTGTCATCGTATACATAAAGTTTTTTTCTAACTGTTAATTTGTTTAATTTAATATTTTTTCCTCTAATTAGAAGGTGAAATTATTATAATATTAAAATTAATAATAAATTATTTATAATAAATAATATTAATTATTATATTCAATAATTATAATTAATCGTTTTAAAAAATTACCAATAAAAAATAATTTATATAATATTAACCAAATATCATAAAATAATTTTTAAATACTAATATTTAAAAAATATAATTTATTTAGGTGTACATACATTGAGATTATAGAAAATACAATTACATTTAAATATTAGAAACAAAAACATTCATTGAAATAGAATATTAATTACATAAGAGTTAACGATAATGCGATGATAACAGAGCTGTACATTTTTTTCTATTGTGCCCGATGTTTCTGCAATGCCCACATCTTTTTTGTTCTGTTGACTTCTCCCAAATATCCATATCACAATGTATTCTAGTGGATTTTGGACGACTTGAGTCCCTGAATAGCAACGGATCTGGTACAATTGTAAGCCAAGTGTGAATCTCATCTGGGTCTATTTCGTTACCTGTGGACGGAAACTCAAATTCATATACCTTGAATACTTGTGAAAGTTGGTATACGGGATCAAAATAATTTTTCTAGTCCAAATGCGAATGTGAGCAAGCAGCAATGACATGAGAGCAATGATATTTGAGTGCTTGAAAGAAACCACAATCACACAACCTTTCTCGCAGATTAACTCTGAAAGAGTTAGCTTCAATCCCTTGCAGTGGATGTGGCATTTCGGTTACACAAAACAATTCACGGGTGCGAGAAAAATTTGTAACAAACATCTCATTTGATGCAGCCACTTTTTTCAGTAAATTAGCTAGTAGTCTTGGGTGGTAAATATGGTCGTTTTGTATCCAAGTAAGAGCTTGTCCACCGAGCTTTGCAAAGAGTTGACCCAAACGAAAATAAGCCGTTTTGACCAACGTTGTACTAGTAAATGACGCGTCCCATTTAAAGTTAAATTGATTGCTTCAGCCAAGTTGGTTGTCATATGACCATAACGATACCCCCGTCATACGCATTTGTCCACATTTCTTTGCTGATGTCCATAATGTACTCGCACCCCTTCTTATTTTTTTCCAAACAGCTCTTGTAGCATAGACTCAAACCTTTGAGGTAAGAGTTTGTAACCTAAGCCATTAGGAATATGTATTAGTTAATATGAAGCAAAAATAAGTAATACGAAAATGATTGAAAAATTGGAAAAAAAGTAACGTACCCATGGGCATGACTAACTGGCGTTCATCGTTCTTCTTGTATTTTTCATAATAGTTTGCAGCAATATGACGGACACAATATCGATGCTGAACATGTGGAGGTTTCCACATTGGACCCAAAGAGTCCATTGTTGCTTTTATCCCAGCTCCTCGGTCTGAAATAATGCATACTTGTTCCCTTGTGACAACATGTAAACGTAAATTTTTAAGGAAAAAAGCCCAAGACTCAGTGTCTTCTCCTTGAACGAGGGCAAACGCAATAGGAAGAATATTGTGGTTACCATCTTGGACCACAACTAATAATAAAACTTGCTTGTATTTCCCATACAAGAAAGTACCATCAATTTGGACAACTGGTTTACAGTACTTTACTGCATTAATACACTGAGGGTAAGTTCAAAAGACACGGTAGAATTGGCAGCGATCGAGAACCACTTAATCATTCACGTAATGATGTTGAGTTTCGAACTCAACAATTGTCTCGGGATTAAGTCTCTGCATAACATGAAACCAACTGGGCAACTCGTTGTAAGAGGAATCCCATTATGTTTGAGGGGACTTGGCAAAGCAGTGAAAGCGCATTCCCAGGGTGGGGGGCGCCTTCCATTATTTTGTTAGAGAATATGTTATCATTGCCCTATTATGTCACTCATGTCCCCCGGGGGCACTATTTATGAATGCCCTATTATATTTGAGGGGACACAACAAAGTAGTGAAAGCGCGTTTCCCGGGGCGCGCCTTCGATTGTTATATCAGAGAATATGTTATCATTGCCCTATTATTCGAGTCATGTCCCCCGGAGATGCAGCAAAGTGGTGAAATCGGGTAAATTATAACCTAAATTTAAGTTCTTTCAGGAAGTTCAGCAAGTTAAGGATAAAATCATACATATTTAAGTTCATAACTTAAATTAAAATGTTATGTGAAGTTTGAATAAATTGGATAAAATGTTATGGATAAATTGAATAAATGTGAAGTGATAAGTTGGTTGTGACATTGAAATTATATGGAATGAGCATCGAAATTTATTTTCTGTTGTGAGCCTTTTTTATTGGGATTATAACACGTGGGTTTTAATGTAAATTTTTAATGTATATGTTAAGGATAAAATCATACATATGGATAAATTTAATTTCAATTTAAGTATTGTGAACTATAATTGGAATATAACTTTTAATTTTGAATACAATTTTAAATTTCAATTGGAATATTAAGTTGAATTTAATGTTAAATTTCGAATACTATAATTTGTATTTTAATGTTAAATTTCGAATACTATAATTTGTATTTTAAAAACATTTAACAAACATTTAATGTTAAATTTGAATAAAAAATAACATTAAAATATTATTGTAACAACCATTGAACATTTAAATAACATAACAAAATTACATAAATTTCTGAAATATAAATATTTAAATAACATTAGAATACAACTGAATCATCGATGTCGTCTTCTCGAATAAGATCCACATGTCGGTTGTTGTCTATTTCACTGAGGATTTCTTCGTGGAACTTGTTCTTCAGTCTCCTTATCTTCACTATCATCATCAGCAGCATTTTTTTCATTTGGCATAGATGACGCTGAAGGGCCTGTATAAAATAACGACCCTGGAAGAGTGTTACTAACAATCCCACCGCTCATAAAGAATTGAGAAAACTATGAAAACATTGGCATCGATGTCTGTGATCCAGATGGAGATTGAGGTGTTTATGGAGAAGCACCACCAGCCAAATAAGATGCATATGAACCATATGTTGGATCATTAAACATAGCCATATATGCACCTCCATATGGTATCATAAAACCCTGCGGGCTAGGCATGTAACCTAGCGGGCTAGGAATGTAAGCTGGCAGGCTAGGAATGTAACCCTGAGGAGATGTTATATGAACTGGAGGGCTGGGCATGTACTCCAGTGGCATCATAATCGATGGATAGGGATGTTGTGGTGGGATTGATACAGAACCGGTAGTGCCTTCTCTCCGTCCACGAGTCGGGGGACGATGATATTGAGACGGTGGACGTCTCTCTCAGCGCCTAGGAATGCTAACCCCTCGTGCTTCTGCCGAAAGTAGAAACGACTTTCCATTTTCATTAAACCAATCCATATAGTTATCCGTAACCATATGATCAGTTTCAGCGTAAAATTGTCGAGGGGCCAACTGTGCATACTGGTTCTTCTAAAGCGCAATCCAATCTCTGTGTCTCACCACCCATTTGACCTCTTTCTTTCCTCGTCTATCTATATTATGCATGTCGTCTAAATTCCTAGGTGCTCCAGGAATATATTGCGTACAAAAAAACTGATGGAGCACGCGATCAACTGGATGCCACTCAACAATAGCATAACATGTAAGAGGTACAACTGACATCCAAACATTTAATGACCCACTCAGGTGGGGTGGGATACAAGCCTTTACTTCATCGCTCACATAAGATATCCACTGAAACTGAAATATAAATATACAATTCAAATAAATATAATATTCTAATTATATCTAGCATTTTAAATTAAAATATTCATATTTAAATAGATTTCGAAACATACCTCAGACCCAGCTTTTGTATCAATAAGTAAACGGATTTCCTCTAGTCCAGTAGGTATATCTCTATGGTTCTTTCTTTTCATCGACCACCTATGAAATATAATATAAACTAAATATCACCCTATTTAATTAAAAATATTTAAATCAAAATTTAGTTCGAAAATTACCTCAATAATAAGGGGAATACGATGGTTCATTGACGATTGGGCATAAGAAAGGCATGCAGAACCACGCCCATGATTGCAGAAGCAAGAGATATCCACCGATAGCAGTTTTTTTATAATTTGTTGCACGACACATTTCTCTAAAGAGAAATGCCAAAACTGTAGCACCCCAACTATCTTCCAACTTTATCAAAATCAATCAGATGACGCAATCACATATAATGCACATGGTTGCGAGATTTTTCGGGCATCAATATTCCTCTAATGATTCGTAGAATATAAGCCCGAGCACATGCTTTTACTTCATCATCTGAAGCATTTTCATTCAAAACTTCAAAATTAGCTTTCAACCATGATAAAGCTATTCTACCTCCATTAAACTCTGGTGGAGCAGCTTCAAGATACTCCATGCACAATGACTGCCAATCACCATCCGCCATACCACACATAATATTTCCATGTACAGTAAGCCCCAGATACATAGAGACATCCTCCAATGTAATTGTAGCCTCTCATATGGAAGATGAAATGTGTGTCTCGGGTCTCCACCTCTCAATCAATGTAGAAATTAAGACAGGTTCGAGTTTACAACCACCAATAATTGTTGCAATATACCCAAACCCGGCAGAAGATAAATATGGCAAAATACGTTGCGGTGTCGGTATACGCGGGTTTTTAATGAATGTCTCTAAAATATGATCATTATCCTAAAAAAATATGCATTATAAAAATTTATAATTAATATAAATTCATGATAAATTTAAATTA